CTGAGCGTCCTGCACGCCCTGCTCTACGCCGCGCTCTTCGCCTTTGCCTACCTGCAGCTGTGGCGGCTGCTGCTGTACCGCGAGCGGCGGCTGAGTTACCAGAGCCTCTGCCTCTTCCTGTGCCTGCTGTGGGCGGCGCTCAGGACCACCCTGTTCTCCGCCGCCTTCTCGCTCAGCGGCTCGCTGCCCCTGCTCCGGCCGCCAGCTCACCTGCACTTCTTCCCGCACTGGCTGCTCTACTGCTTCCCCTCCTGCCTCCAGTTCTCCACGCTCTGTCTGCTCAACCTCTACCTGGCGGAGGTAAGGCGCGAGGACCGGGTGAGCGGGGCCGCCCGGCTCGATCAACTCCTGCTGAGGCTCGGGGGGGGGGGGGGGGGCGGCGGACCCCAGACCACCCCGGGGAAACTGAGGCGCGCCCGGAGCGTGCGCCGGTGTCTTCGCCCCAAACTTGAGCCCCTGGTGGAGCCGGTGACTGAGCGGGGTTGGGGGAGTGCGAGTGAGAGTGTGCACGCCCCGCCAACTTAACGCAGCCGGACCACCCTTTGTTCAGCGTGCCGGCCCTCCAAGGTAAGGCGTGTTGGCGGCCCCCGAAAAAGTGGCATCGGAAGAAGTAGCAGCCCCGGGAGCGCTGCTGAAGCTGGACTGTGATGAGGGAGGTTGGATGCTGAGGTAGCAGCAGCCCTGCTGAAGCTGGACCTCTGCCAGCCATTACGTCACCAGGCAGAGCTGTTCCCCTGCTATTGTTGCTGCGTTTCTTTTATTAGAAGCTTAGATTCCCTCCTGTATCTCCCTTCCTGTGGCTCGATAAGCCTCCCACAAATTCCCTTCGATCGTTCCCCAGCAGGGTTAACGATCGATAACCAATGCTACGGGTCACCATGGGGACCTCCATCCAGCCTTTGCATGTTTGCCCCAGTTTCATGCTTTAGTGATTTATTCTACTTCGTCCAGCATAGCCTTTGGGGGGGGGGGGTGGAGCTAATTAAGAGAAGATAACTAGCTTCACCTGTGCTTACTGCAGAACCCTCCAAACTGTTTGTGCAATAACTTGCCTAATAGCTGGCATCTAATCACACCCCCTTTCTCCTTCCTGGGGAATTGCTGGCTGGGTTGCATTGTTCTGCAGCGCTTAGGTATTTGACCCATTTCAAACAGGTTTGGGAGTCGAAGGCTGTCAATCATATGTGTCAGGTAATGATATTGAAGCCACTATTTTGAGATTGCCAAAAAAAAAAAAAAAATCCCCCTTTCGCTCAAAAGGGAAGCTTGAAGAAGGGAAGAAACAAGGTGACATCATACTTAATACTGACTAATATAGAACAATATTGGGTCTATGCAGCTAATCCTCTCAAAGGCTTTTGGAGGTGATGAGAATAACAGTTCCAAGCAAAAGTAAATAACATTCGAGGCAGGGTGCGTGTTTATATTTCCTCCTTAAACCAACTCTTTTTCTCCCTTAATAAACAGGAAACACTACGTAATTTTAAAAGCACAGAGTCATAGCTTCAGCTATTTAGCACACTAAAAACAACAGCTAAGTAACAAAACTCATTAACTTTAATGATTTTTTCCTCTGTACTCTTTGGAATTCCACGCAGTAGGATGACAAAAACCCAAACAGTAAGAAGCACAAGTAAAAGACATAAATAATCGTAAATCAAGTAACTGTATGATGGTCATCTCTTGTTCGAGGATGTGCTGATCTACTAGTTGTCGTTTACACTTCAGCTGATACACTGTGTTCTCCGTGCCATCATTTCTGATAATGACCCCTCGTCCCTGAAGCCTTACTCTAGCTTCAGATAGGTAATTTACCTGACGTGACTAGCGCTCCATAAGCTATGAACATGAGATAATTTGGTTTTTGCAGCGTATGTTTTGACTTACAAAATCATGTTAATGATACACTTCAAGGTAGCTGGTGGGCATTTTGCAAAGGACTGAGCACTTTTTACTTCTTGAGATATAGCACATATATAAAGTGCACAATCTTATAAAGCATTTCCAGAGCCCCCAACTAAGAAGCTTCTCTTGTACCCTGTACCCATCAGTATTTCTCCCAACTTGAGTTCTATCACAATAGAAAAAAAAAAGAACATCTGTATTTAAGCTCAAAATTCTAAAACATCTGCATCTACAGCATAAAATAAAGTATCTAGATTAGGATTTTAGGCTGTTTATTGCTAATATTCCATGTGAAGGAAGAATTTAAAAGTCTCCCTCTTGCCAGGTGTGGTAGCACATCATGTAATTCCAGCACATGGGAGGCTGAGGCAGGATGAACACCTTGAGTTTGAGGCCAGCCTGAACTGCATAGCAAAACCCTGTCTCAAAAAAATAAATAAAAATAAAAGTCTCCCATTAATGAATCCTCTGTGTGTGATGTGCTTTTTTGAAAAAGCAATAAAACTGGTAATCTACAAAATAAAATTTGGGAAAAAGCTGGACTAAAGTTTTTTTTTTTTTTTTTGGCAGTATGTCCTAAAAAGGATGTGAGTTACTTATGTATTTTCTTTTATAATCAAACTAGCAATACAACAAATAGTATTTAAGAGAATTTTCAACTTTTTGGAAAATTTTATTTAAAAAGAAAGATCTTTAAAACTGTGTCCTTATTTGTTCAGAAAATTTCACAGAAATTTGTATGTAAAAGAATGTATTTAAGTCCAGTGTTTTTATATCAGTTCCATGTAGCCAAAAGTATCCTTTCTATTGAGCATTCCAAATTAGTGAAGTTTTCCCCAGTGCATTCGTATTGTATAGCAGAGCGGTAGGGAAAGTCTGTTGAAAGTATAAGACATAACTGATAGTTGATATTTTTTAACCCAAAGCCTTGTCTTTACTACCTGTCATATTAAATAACAATTCCATTTTACTTTGACTTATTTAAAACATTTGTTGTATCCATTTCTCCCTAATTAAAAACATTTTAACATTGAAGCCTTGGTCATAAAGAATCGTGAACCAATATAAAAAATCATAAAGTCATTATTGCTGCTTTGGACACAGTTTGAAAAGTTATGGACTGCCTGGTCCACGCTGGTTGACTGCATTGGAATGGAATTAAGATAAGGGGAAGTAGCCTTTTCTGAAACAGTTAGGTTTTTCAGCTTCTCATATGTCCTTAACCTCCTAAGAGCAGATTACTGGAAGGAAAAAAAACTGTATACTAATCTAAAAGCATGTATTGAACTTTTTTCTGGCAGGAGAAGTAGGACATGAACTTTACCAGAAAAGGAGTCACACTCTATACTTTCACCAGAGCAGACTTTATGTCTTTAAAACATGTCTGATAAAATAAGCTATCCACCATTAGCCATATAAAAGGATGTAAAATGAGAGTTAATGTACCGTCTTTGGAGCATTGTGTTGCCTGCCAAAGTCAGTGAATTCATCGGGGCCCATAATGACGTTTTTCCTTGGAATTTTTGAATACAAATGCCAGTTGCTTAACCAGGATAAAATATAGTCACTTCATAACAATGCCAAAACAGTTAAGAAAATTAAAAGTCTTAACTGTTACATTTGTGGGTGCCATTACTGTGCCTGCCGGGGACTGTACTCTTTCACATGTTGATAGCAGTTTAACGTGCAACTCTCGGCTTTTTTATGCTCTGATTTCGCACAGTATTTTCACCACCTATCACAGAAATTGACAGTAAGTCAATTTATTATATTTTTATCATAGCAACTAGAACAACAGTGAATATGCTATTGAATGACAGTCTCAAGACACCAAGTTCTAGAAATATTTTAACCATCTAATACGTACAGAGTAATCAGGGAGGCCAGAGTTTCACATATGTATCTGTCACAGAAGTCATGATTGTAATGCCTTAGATTTTATGGATTTTATATTTGTAAAACACTTTATAACCTTTATCTTCACAATCCCTATGAACTAGAAAAGGGCCGTGATTTGCCTAGGGTTATATGGTTGATAGGTATCAGATGTTGAGACTACTGTATAGCTAAGATACTAAAAAGTCCTGTCGAGTAAAGCTTCCTATCCATGAACTTTACTAGACACCATTATTTAGTGCTTCTCCTTTGCTTTCTCATTTTCACTCTTCCAAATCTTTTCCAATGTCTATTGAACTCCTTTTATCTTTTCATCCTCAGCATATGATCTTTACCTCCTAATTTCACATATTCCCACCAGCTTGTACCACCGGTGGTCTAGAGCTGCCTGGCAAGACATGAATTATGGCCCCAATGTGAGTGTGTTCAAGAAGTTAGAAGCCAGAGCCATCTGGTTAACCAAAGAGTGAGGAAAATGGCTAACAATGTGTGACTGAGCTTGATAAGTTAGGAAATTCCTCAAGGCTAGAAACCACCAGCCCCCCCAAAAAAAAAAAAAAAAAAAGATAAAATACCACAGATGTTTGTTTTGTAATAGTTGTCAATTGTTTTCTGCTATCCGATAGCCAGGCTTTCATTTTATGTACTATATAGGTTTAAAAAAGTGATACTGAGAGCTACTCTTGTAGTGAGGTATCCTATCCCAAGCGCTACAGCATAATGCCGAAATCAAACTGCCTATGGATGAGCTAAGAATTTAATCAGCAGGTCCTCAGAGTTTGGTAGTGGGGTACGTGCTTGGCTCTGGGTGAAAGGGTACAGGGTGGGGAAAGATAAGTCTCCCCTGATGATACATATCAGGCTTGTTTCTACACAAGTTTAAAGGCAGAGCTCACATCAGACCTGTGATTTTATGGGTAGGTAGGGGAACCCAGCCCAAAAATGTAGTTTTCCTTGCCTGGTAGTAGCTTCAAGAAGCTGGAAGGAGGGCTGGGGATATAGCTCAGTGGCACAAGCACCTGCCTGGCAAGTTCAAGGTCCCGAGTTCCATCACGGGTACCGAAAAAAAAAAAAAAAAAATCTAAAGAAGCTGCAAGGAGCACATACAAATCACCTGTAGAGGAATGTACTGTAAACCTAGAATAGTGACAGATAAAATTCCACAAAACAGAAACTCAGATATCACACTGGAGAGTTTTACCTACAAAGATTACAAGTATCAAAATTATCAAATGCACACAGGTTGAGCATACTTAGTCAAAATATCTGAAATGCTCCAAAATCTGAAATTTCAAACATTAGCATGACACGACAAATGGAAAATTCCACACCTGAGCTCATGTGATGCGTTGCATTCAAGACAAGATGCACAACAATTTATATAGTTACATTCAGGCTGTGTGTATGAAGGAGATGAAACGGCCAGGCGTGGTGGCACACACCTGTAATCCCAGGACTTGGGAGGCTGAGGCAGGAGGATTGTTACGAGCTCAAGACCA